AGGAGGGGAGGAAGGAAAGTGTCTCTCATCTCAGTAAACACACTAGTCATCTACCCAAGAAACATCGCTGGGTTGTGGTGTTGGGAGCTTCTCCCAGAGATACTGCGGGGCCCAGACTTCCCGGAGAAACTCAGTCTGCTCAGGGAAGGGAGTATGACCTCAGTGGAGATGCCGAAAGGGCGGGGCTGACTCTGCAAGGTCCCTACCTCCGCTGTCCGGGTTGGCGGGATGGGAAAGGGTGGAGGGAGGAAGGGGGAGCTCCTAGGTCGTGGGTCCGCGCTCACGCACGCGCGCGTGTGGCATAGTTGCGGGACTAGTCGCACATCGACAGCTAGGTCAGTGTTCTGTCGCTAAAGAATGTCTCTGTGTCTCCACAGGGCTCGGCGAGGCTTGGGGCCACTCGAGTAGGACCAGTCCCCTTGACAACGTTGGCCGAGAACTGGGCTCCCATTTGCTCCAGGTACAGATGCTGTTTCCCGGTGGCGTATGTGTCCTGGGTGTCTGGCTCTGCGTGGCGCTTCTAGTTCCTCCCCCCCCTCCCAAAAAAAGGAAGTAAAGAAGGAATCCAGCCTGGACCTGGCCACCTTACAGTCCAATGGCTCTAACAAAGTTAAACCTTTAACTCTTCACTGCCCTGAGTGAGGACGACCCCTCAAAAAGACGAGAAGGTGGCTAGGTGACAACCGAAACGTGGAGTTTGTAGAAGGTGGCCCTGCAAGGCCCTATCAGGGCTGCTTGACCAGGGGAGGGAGCGCCATTTGTACCCATCGGGCGGAGGGAACTAGAATGCTCAAGGCTGGGCCACAGAGCTAACCTAAATGTAGAATTTACAAAGGGGCTAGCAAGAATCTGGTAGAAATGCCAGTCAGTCCTTTAAGACCACACATTCCAGACCCAACTGTGTCTGCAACTCCTTTCATCTCGCTATAGTGCGGGGCTCCCTCCTCGCTCCCCGGGAGTCCTACGCCTAGGCTGTGTACAGACCCCTGGGTGCACACATATACACCCCTAGGCAATAAGTTTGACCTATGTGAGGCGCCCATTAACTTGTTGTTTGTAGTACTCACCATTTTAAATTGCCCGTTGCCCTGCTTAAGTCACAGAACAAATATTTTAAATTGCAAAACTCTCGGTGGCATTTTTAAGTTTGACACTTGCCCCCCACCCGGAATTCTATTATTTATTCAAGTCCACTGGGAGCTCCTAGTGTGGGAGCCTGGACCCTGAGCAGCATCAGAGGAATCTAAGCCGGTTCTCGCTCCCCTCCAACCCAGGATTGGCACGAAAGGCATCTCCTAGCGAGAGCTCCTGTCCCACCACTACCCTGACACTCCCTCCCTTCCAGACGCCAAAAAGATTTTAGTTTTACAGAACGAAGTAAGGGCTTGGGCAAGCATTCCCCCACTGACCTGGCCCCAACCTCTGAATTTATCTAGAAAAGTGTTACCTTCATTTTCTGAGACATCTTCTATCAGGTGTCCTGATTGCCCCTCCCCCAATCTTTTCCTATTCCAAACCAAATCACTCAGAAATATAAACAAGACATCAAAACTCAAACTCTCACCCTTTCTATCTCTTGCCCAGTCTCTTTCTTCTTCACCCACAGTTTCCGGCTGGAGTTAGATCCCAATTTCAATAGCTTACTTCCCACTGCATTCACTCACACATTCATCTCTCCCACCAGTGGCGCTCCGCACAGGCTCCACCACATTTTGACAGCCAGAATTAGATGCTTGTCTCTTCTTCTAGCTGATTCATTCCACAAATATAGGCGGGTCAATTGCCAGCCAGCCAGGAATCCTTGCCCTCATAGAGTTTAGATTCTAAGGAGAACAGCCTGAGACTCGGGAGCACCACATAGTTTATCAGGTGACATTGGCGCCTGGAGAAAAATAAGAAGGGAAAGGAGAACTAGGGGAGAAGCCCTCACTAAGGTGACATTTGGGCAAAGATCTGAGACACTGTTAACTTGATGCTTTTTCTAAAGTCACACTATTCCCCAGATTCTTCTCCCTCTTTGCTTGTTCCTCTTTGATTTTCCCATTCCTGGCTGGTCTAAAAATACTGTTATTTCCCCCAAGTTTCTACCTGTTTCTTTCTCACATCTTCAAGGCCTCCGGGGTGATCTTGGCCATCCCTAGTGGTGACCCCAGCTAGTTTCTCCAATGTCTTTCACCTTCCGAGTTGCAGTCCTTTACTTCCCATTGCCAGTTGCACACACCTAAGGGGAATCTCTAAAACAAGAATGCATTATCAACTTCCTCCACACTTTCACTCATACAAAAATCTCAGTGTGCTCTCCTGAATTTTCATTCTTGGTTAATGATGTCACCTTTTGCCCAACACCCTCACTGAAACCTGAGGTCAACCTCCATTTTTGTCTTTGTTACCTGTATAGCATGCAGCCCAGGCGAGACCCTTCTTTACCTTAGACTCTTCCCCCTTCTCTGTCCACCTGTGACACCTAGTTTCAGGCTTGACCATCTTTGCTGTAGTTACCCTCTCTGATCTTCTCATCCCCACTGCTTCCTCCTGGAGGTCACTGTCTGTAGTCGACCTACCAGGAAAAAAAAAAAGACAAAACAAAACACATCTGAGAGTGTTATTCTCCGGCTTAAGAACCACTGTTGTAACCCTAATGGCTACAGGAGCCATTCCAGATCCCTCAGATTGACATTCCAAACTCAGAATATCCATTGTGAGTGTCGTTCCTTAGCTCCATCTCTCGTATACCAGACTCATCATCTCAGAACACAGTAGATCTGTGGCTACTGTGAATAAATGGCTCTTTCTTCCATCTCCAGGCCAAGTTTCCTATTCAAGCTTCTATTCAAATAGCAGTTCCTCTAAGGATACATCTTTTTTTTTTTTTTT